AAGCAACCCTAAAAGAGGTCTTGGAAATTTATCTATACAGCTGGCCACACATGGTTATTTCTCCAAGTTGTGACTGGTAAAGAATGTGGAATCCACAATCTTTAGGGATGGTGCATTGAGTGCTCCACTCTGTGAAAAACTATCCAGAAGAAAGAGTGTTGGGGAAGATATAGGTGAGGCTGGGTGAGGTGGAACTGGGAGAATGAGAAAAGAAGAGAGACCATCTGGATTGGAAAACATTGTCGGGAAAACATGATTTTGACACTGTATAGGAGAAAGTTGGTTGGAAAGATTTAGAGAGAAATTTCTTTGAGCTGTATAAAATGGAGTCAGAATAAATAGAGTTATTATCTTTGCTCCCAAATAATAATTGGACCCGTTGTCATTCTTGCATTAATATTTCCTCTTTAAAGGGAGGAGGGAGGCCTCCCACCATAACCTCTACAACTAATCAGCCTTCCTCATTCCACTAGAAAAACTTGAGTCTGTTGTGCTGATACTCGAGTCTAGTAGGAAGACTGACTCTCTAGTGACTGTGAATTGTAACCAGAGTAACCAGCACAGAGATGTCTTGAAAAGTTTTCTTAAAGGCCCAGCATTTATTTTTATACTGTAGCCTTGAGTGAGATACATATTTGTATATAGTAGATTGCTGGTTGTGGTCCACACTCCAGGCAGTGAAATAAAAGCTGCTCCAGCCTATGGCTTTTGTTCATCTCTGGAGTAGCAACATATGGATAACTGAATCAGTAGTATCTGAATTACAGCTTATGAGGCTGTGGTAATTTTCAGATTTAAATATTTAAAACATTTCGAATTTTTCTCTTTGATTTTTTTTTTTCTGAAAGAACAATGAAGAAATATTCCCTGAGAAGATGTTACAAGTTTGCTCTTCACTTGGGAAATAATTTTATGCAGCATCTAATGCATATATATTAGGTTCTTTTGCCACCACCAAACAAAGAAGAAGGGGGGGAGGGGAGGTGGAGGAGAGGAAAAAAATTCATTTTTTTCCTGCAAAATCCCTTTGAGTTGCTATTGATTAACATTTATTGGAGTTTTTTTTTTAAAGATTTTATTTATTTATTTGAGAGAGAGAATGAGATAGAGAGAGCATGAGGCGGGGAGGGTCAGAGGGAGAAGCAGACTCCCTGCTGAGCAGGGAGCCTGATGTGGGACTCGATCCTGTGACTCCAGAATCATGACTTGAGCCGAAGGCAGTCATTTAACCAACAGCCACCCAGGTGACCAACATTTATTGGAGATTTTACTTTCAGAGTAGTTAACTCCATAACCCAGTACTGCATGGTATTGGGGATCAGAGGACTTTTTTGTGGTTCAGGGCTTCATCCTGTGATTAGTTTCCTATGCTTCCTAAGGAGCCACACACACTGCACAAACTGGCAGGAGTGTTAAAGCCAGGCAGCTCAGCCCATCAGTGATCTGCTCCGGAAGCAACCCTCAGGAGAGGGAAGTGAAAACTGCATCTCAGTTCTGGGGATATTTGTTTCTCATGGTGTGTTTTCTACAGTTACACTATTCTGTGAGGAAGAGGGAGAAAACAACTCCAGTAAAGCACTCTCCAACCCCACTTTGGATTTTTAAAGCAAGGCTAGGTGTCCAAGACTCTTCACAGGGGATAATAATTCTCTCTGCATGTCTGCCTGGCCATAGTGTTTCCCTTAAGCCTTGGTTTCATGTGCAGTATCTTTAGCGTCCCTGTGGGCCCCAGTGCTGACCTGCTGTGCTCCTGAGAGGTCTTGCAAGAGGGCTTAGCTTCCTCCTCAGAAGGGCAGAGCTGAGGCAGGAAATTCCCCTTAGAGCTTCACTCCTTCGGTGTGATGGTTTGCCTCATGTTAAAATGCAAATGCCCTGGGAAGGGAAGCACAAGAAACCCTCTGACTCATTTACTCAGGTTGTCACTGCATGGCCAAGAGGGGCTGGACAGGAGTTGGCCATTGTGATACACATTTTCCTATAAGGTCGCCTCATTCTCTTTCCAGAACCCATTTTTAAAAGGGATGCAGATCCTAGATATTCTCGGGGTAGAGGATACCCCTCTAACTCTAAATGAGGACAGAGATAGTGAAGGTCAACAAATGCTCCAGGCTGGCCCTGTCCTTTTCACCAAGGTTTTAAAGGGAGTTGAATTATTTACAGAGACAGTTTGTAAATGTTCTGGTCTTATATTTAGGTATCCTAGAGAGAGGAAAGGTCAAACCATACATGACACCGTATAAGTCTTACCTTGATTACAGTGGTCACAGACTTTAGTTGGTCTTAAAGATTACAGTTGGTCACAGACTTTAGTTGGACAGAGAAGCATGTTGGAGCTGCGGGGTGTCAGCAGTTCAATGATTTGGGGCAGAAAAAAATATTTTTCTTTTCTAGTTCTAGTCAAGTCGTAGAAATGCATGGAAAATTTTAAAGCATCAAACATTTAGTAACTTCACTGTCCCCACCAATGCAAACCTGAAAGCATGACCTCGAAATTAAATAATAAATGAAAGGAGGGTGGCACCATTTTGGATCCTGTTCTACATCACCTGGTAATTGAATCTGACAAGGAAATGAATTGGATTCTCTGAATTTTGGAAACAAGGCAAAATCAAATTACCCAGTGGACAACATCCCCACTGCCAGTATCATTGCCCATCTGACTTCCCCACGGTGCCTGGCATGCAACTATTCTCATGCACCTAAACCTAGAGATATGTTGCCTTATTTATTGTTTTTGTTTTGTTTTCACCCTATACCCTTTCTGACTCTCATCCTCCATAGATTTCTTTGCAAAATAAGTAAGTCAGAGGACAAATAACATATGATTTCACTCATATGTGGAATTTAAGAGACAAAACAGATGAACATAAGGGAAGGGAAGGAAAAATAAAATAAGATGAAAATTGAGAGGGAGGCAAACCATAAGAGATACTGAAGTCTAGGAAATAAATTGAGGGTTGCTGGAGGGGGTGTGAGGGAAGGGATAATTGGGTGATGGGCATTAAGGAGGGCACCTGACGTAATGAATACTGGGTGTTATATGCAACTGATGAATCACTAAATTCTGCTTCTGAAACTAATAAAAGAGGGAAAAATGCCCCCAAAACTCAATGACCTGTTTGTATTGTAGGTGTACATAGGTGAAGGCATGCCAGGAAAAGAACAGGACTGTACAGTGTCTTTAAAGTCTTTGGCAAGATTCAAAAACTGTGGCATATCGTCTTTCTAGAAAGGTGCTGTCAACATTGTGGCGGAAGAGATGGTGTGTCTAGCTGCCCTTATTGATATCCTCCAGCCTGGCAAACCAATGCTCTATTTCTGTGAGCAATGGAATGAACCATTGTACTAAAGCTGGCCCCATAGGTTTGTTTTCCCATGGCTACTCTACTTAATTTGTGGTGTAGCTGAATTGATTTGCAGTGATTTGAATGAATCATTGGGTGTACAGTGAATAGTTCTTTCCATAAAGCTACATGTTGTGGAAACAGAAAGGAATTATTGCCAATAGTAGTAACAGTTGGACACAAAAGCAGAGTAAATGTGTTATGTATACAAAGCTCTTTAGTACTGTAATGGTCCTATCAGGTGAACCCATAAGTGTATGAGTGATTTGAAGATAGTTGATACTTTTCAGCCACTTAGAAAGGCATTTTCTTAGGTGGCGTTTTCAGTGTGTGACAAATGAACATCATAGTACTCTGTGTTGCTACTGCTCATTGTTGTTGCCCATGCAGGGAAGGTCTTCACAGAGTGAATGGTGGTTCTATATTAGATGAATGGGGAAGTGAGTGACAACTCTAGAGAAAAAAAGAGCTCTCTGATGATTTCGGGCCTTTGACTTCACAGATTTGTACCTATGAAAATGTAGAAAGAATTTCTCTATCCAGTGATCTTCCCAGTAATTTCTGGTTTCCTGGGGTTCCTCTTCCAGCATTGGTCCTCACATTTATTGGGAATTAAAAATAATGACTGTTCCAGATGATGTAATGGAGGCTTTGGGATTTTAGGGGGCCTGGAGGGTGGCAGGGATTGGGTCTTTCTATTAATGATCAGTTCAACAAGCATAGAAAATAGGATTTTAGAGTTAGACTCTACAAATCAAGATGATGCTACCATTTTCTTCATGTAGTAGACACAACGTGACATTCACTTCAAGCCTTGACTCATATGGTACCATTTGGAAATTACAGTGTGGTCCTTTCCTTTGCTTTTTCTGAAATTGCCTGGGGGTAAAATCTTTCCAGGGAGATTATAACTGAGCTGGGCTTTGGACAGATTATTTGAACAGGAAGGACCTTGCTCATTTTTAAAAATCGTTTTCCTCTGTGTTCTTCAGATTGGATCATTTCTGTTGATTTGTTTTCAAGTTTCTTTCTTCTGTCATATCATTTCTGTTATTGAGCCCTTCCAGATACTGTGTTTTTTACTTCTAAGATTTTCATTTTTTTTCATTTCTCTGCTGAAAACAAGTACTTTACCATTCATTTCAAAAGTATTCAACCACATGGACCTTGTTTATAATTGTTGACTTAAAGTCTTTATCTGATTATTCCAACACCTGGGTCATCTCAGTATTGTGATCTATTGATTGCCTTTTAACTTGAGAATTGGTCATATTTGCTTGCTTTTTAAAAGTATGTTGTATTTTGGATTGTATACTGGATATATTGAGTATTATATTTTAAGACCCTGGATCCTATTTAAATTCTCTGGAAAAGGTTCACTTTTTTTGTGTGTTTTAACGAAACTTGATTAGGTTTAGACTGCAAATTCTGTCTCATTTTTTATGGTCATTGGTTCCCATATATCAGTTCATATATTGGTTTAAAAAGCCTATTCCTAATAACATAGCAAGTATTTCAGAGTGATTGTCAAAGTATATGGATGATCTATAATTTTTGATAGTGCAATTCTCAGTAGAGAATCCCAAGCTACACTGTATCTGTGATTTTCACTGTGTTGATTTTTTAAATCAATTATTAATGTTTTATATTTTTTAGCAACAGAAACCTCAAGGAAATCCAACAAAGAAAACCAAATCAAAAAAATTGGATCCCCTCAAAGGCCAGAAAGTTATTGCAAGATGTGATGAAAATGGCTTTTACTTTCCAGGTAGATATTTTATTTTGTAAGATTCCTATGTAAAATAATATATCAGGGACCTGAGGTTCTCAAACTGTGCTTTCCCCAGAACACTGACAATTCATGAGCTGTATTAAGGTATTCCACTTCTAAAATGAACTGATGGTGGGGTTTCTACCTATGTTTATGAGGGGAAATGGGCAGAAAATGTATTTATTTTAATCTTTCATTTGTTTAGTAAAAAATTTTTACTATATGTCTACTATCTTCTATGAATGTAATACTCCTAAAGCGCTGGTCTAGTGTAGACCAGCAGATGAAAATTCTTGTCTTTGTGGAACTTAACATTCTAGTGAGGGAGACAGACAAGCAAGCAAATACATACACTATGTAGTGCGTCAGACACAGTGTTGTAGAGAAAAATCAAGCTACAAAGGGAATTGAGAGTGTCAAGGTAAAGTCTGCAATTTTAAATATGGTGGCCAATGAAGAACTTCTTGGGAAGGCGTTGTGTGAATAAGACTTAAAGGAGAAGGAGCAAGCCATGAAATTATCTGGGGGAAGAGAGTTCTTCTTTTTCTTCTTTTTTTTTAAAGATTCATTTATTTTGAGAGAGAATGTGAGCACGAGTCGGGGGGGTGCAGAACAAGAGGGAGAGAGAGACTCCTCAAGCAGACTCCCTGCTGATCACAGAGCCCAACATGGGGCTTGTTGTGGGGCTTAATCCCAGGACCCTGAGATCATGACCCGAGCTGAAATCAAGAGTTGGATGCTTAACATACTGAGCCACCCAGGCGTCCCTGGGGGAAGAGTTCTAAGCAGAGGGAACAGCAGTACAGAGTCCGGAGGCTGGAGTACATATGGCATGTTGGTAGAAGAGGCCAGTGCGGTTGGACCCGAGAGCTTTTCCCAAAAGTTTGTGGGACGTGTGATCCTGAAGGAACCAGCCAGGTACAGTTCAAGTGAGAACTTTGTGGACAGTGAAAATAATATGTATCTAGAGGTGGAGACAAACATTTTCTATCTGGAGAAATAAAATAGATTATGGCTGGAACCTAGAAGGCAAAGAAAAGGTAGAAAATAATAAAGGTCTTCAGAGAGGGAAGTATGGGGCCATTTATAAAAGGTCATGTTAAGAAGTTTGGACTTTATTGGGGAGCTACATGGAAAGCAGGGAAAAACAATCACCCTTGAAGTTCACAGAAGCTCTCTTCCCCTGTTGTGTGAAGAGTGGATACAGAGGGCGCCTGGGTGGCTCAGATGGTTAAGCGTCTGCCTTCGGCTCGGGTCATGATCCCAGCGTCCTGGGATCGAGTCCCGCATCGGGCTCCCTGCTCCTTGGGAGCCTGCTTCTCCCTCTGCCTCTCTCTCTCTCTCTCTCTGTCTCTCATGAATAAATAAAATCTTTAAAAAAAAAAAAAAGTGGATACAGAGTGGGTTGGAATGTCCCTCAGGTCCCTGGCTTGGGCCATATGGTAGTGGTACGTGCAGGAGATGTTGGTATGCACAGGAAGATAATGATGTGTCTGGGGCATGATGAATTGTAGGTACACTATTAGGTGTTGATATCTCAAAAATCTCTGTCTCCAAACAGGTTTCCTCTTGTGACTCTAGACCCCTATCTCTAATTGCTTCCAATTGCTGAAGTTGTCAGAAAAGCAATTAGAGATAAGGGTCTAGAGTCTCAGGAGGAAATCTGTCTGGAGATAGAGATTTTTGAGACATCAACACGTAAGTGTCATTGATATGGGAAAGGCCTGTAGGGAAAAGAGAGCTTAGGGAGAGAGCCCTGAGGAAGATCCGTGGGGCAGAAAGATGATACTGTAGAAACACAGCCGGTCTTGCATGAGCATTATCTGTCAATCACCAGTTAAAAGAATCATTCTTTATTAATTAAATTTCATTGAATCTTTTTAAGTGGGGAAAAATACTTCAGCAGGAGTTTTGGGTTGTAGCAGGCATATGTGGAGAACTGAGAGCTAGGACATTTTCTTTGAAATTCACTAGATGTGCTTTGGAGCTGACTGGATGAGAGTAATTAAATGTGGATTGGAGCATTTGAGATGAGCTCATAGGCCAAGGCACAAAACTCTTCTTTGTAAGAGTAGGGCCCAAAAACCTTCCCTTTCTCTGGGACGCAGATTTGCTGGGTGGTGATTATGGCGGCGCGGGGGGGGGGGGTGCCTCTGCTTGATTTTCTGAACTGGAGCCCCAGAGAGGGGTCTGAGGCTAATTCGGCAGTTGAATGGAAATGCAGGAAAGGACTGGCTTCCAAATGGCTGCATTAGGGCTTGGGATCAGTTCGCTGGCCAGGGTCCTGGAGAAAAGTAGAACAACTCAAACTTTTCCTCCTCACCATTCTCGTGTGATAAGAAATGCCAAAGACCTACTGCTGCCAGTCTGGGGAAGTCGAGAAAGCAGGTGACACCATGGCTGCATGCAATTCCTGAGATCATGTCAGCAATCATTATTGCCCTGTTTTTTGTTTTGTTTTTTTTTCCTTTAAATATGCAATTAGAGGCAGAGAGTGCATGCCACCAACAGTTCAGATCTGGCTATTTGAGAATTTTTAATTTGTGGCTGTGATTAAACTCAAATAAGTCTGTGTGGAGGGAATACACATTTGAATTTAGTCATATAATCAGTAATTTGGATGAGTGGCTAGTTAGTAAATACTGACTCAGGCAAATTAAATGATCATGTCTGTGTTCCTGGATGTACTTCATTTCTGTTCCCTCTTCCCCCCTGAAGTCAGTGAATCTTTAATTGGGAACAACCCAACTCATAGAGTTATTTTTTTATAAAAAATAATTTCAAACTTACAGAAAAGTTACAAGAATAATAGAACTTTTGTATACACTTTACCCAGCTTTGCCAATGATTAGCTTTTGTCATGTTTATTTTACCACATTTATAATTTTATTTTATTCTCTTTCTCTCTACTCAACTCCACACATACACATTATTTTTTCTGAACTATTTGAGATTAGGTAACATCATTATGCCTCTTTATTCCTTAATGCATCAGTGTATATTTCTCAAGAACAAGGGTATTCTCTTAACATAATCATAATAAAGTTATAAGATCCAGGAAATTTAACATTATTATACTACTTTTTACCTGTATATTTCAATTTTGTTAATTGTCTCAATTATGGCTTTATATTTTTTATCTCTAGAATAGGTCAAGTCCAGAATCATGTTAACATTGGGTTAACATGTCTCCTTAGTCTTCTTTAATCTAGAATTATTCTCTAGCCTTTCCTATCATTTCTCATGATACTGATGTTATTTAAGAGTAAGATCAAATTACCTTATAGAATGTTCCTTGGTTAGCTTAGGCTCAGAGTGTGCATTCCTGGACAGCTTGCTACCTAAGTGATGGCATAATGTCATGTCCCTCTCAAGATATCCCATCCAGAGGCACATGATGTCCATCGGCCTCATTAGTGACACTACTTGAGATCACCTGGTTACTATGCATTACTGTTTTCTCCCTTGTGAAAAAGAAGGCCAAACAGAGACTTGTGGAGCACAGCATGATACTCGCGGGTGACACCTTTTTTGATAACTTTTGTCTGGAGCCTTCTAAACATTTCTAATGAAAAATATCTGGCTTTGAAATGTATCTCAGTAGTAGGTGGCTTTGGGGTAATTGGGTCATAGTATCTCTCGCTTCAGGCCAGGTCCACACAGGAGCAGAGCTAGACCGGTTGTTGCTGTCATCGTCGGCAGTCAGGGCAGGGATTTCTGTATGGCTGACTCTCTTCCGGGGTCAGTATGAAATATTGGGTTAAGGAATGACTGCATTGTTCAGAATGGAAGTGACAAGCCAATAGTCTGGGTCATTAGGATGCTGAAAGGCAGGGAGGAAGACACATTTCAAAACATTATTTTAAGTCATTATTTGTGAAAATCGGGTCCTCCTTCCTGTTCTTCAGTGAAAAGAAGCATTGACTTCAGGAAATCCATGATGATGAAAAGTCTGAGTTGCACAATTTCTGCACTATGCCACAGAAACAAGTTACAAGGGAAGAAAAAGGCAGGTGGCAGAGGCAGGGGAGGAGGAACTGAATACCTTCTCAGGTGTCATGTTTTGGGGTCAGAAAAGCCCAAGTTTTTATTTATTTGAAATCTGCCTTTTTCCTCTACTAGCCATGTGACTAGAATCACTGAAGTTCTCTGAGCCTCAGTTTCTTTATCCTCCTGAATGAAATTAAAACAATTAGAACCCCTGTAAGATTGTGGTGTTGATTAAATATGGTAATGTACTGTATTTTTTAAATTGGAAAGTGTGAATTGCATGTAAAGAGTTTTTCTCTCATCCCATGTGAGAGCTTCTCTTGAGAGACAGAAACAACTTCTGTCCTCTCCTGGGGGTCAAGGGAGGTGCTTGCAATTAAAAAACGCTAACAGCAGTTTAAAAACTTTAACAGCAATTCAAAGAGGCAAAAATTAGCCCAGGGGGCTAGAAAGGAAACCTCTGAGGCTGAAGGGAGAAGAGACTATGATGAATAGATGTGCAAGATGACTTTCAGTGGAGTAGGGCAGGTGGAAGGGCTGCTTTTGGTGAAGCAAAGGGAAAGCCTTTTTCGGGAGATGGAATTTAAGCTGGGCTGTGCTTATCAGAAAGTTAGAGCCATAGGTAAAAGATCCAGTCTCCAGCCTGAGAAATTCCTGTTTGGAGCAAATATTGAGAACTCTTCCTGCGTCTTTCACAAAATGAACTGACCTACCTACTTGGAGTATTTCTGCTGTCTTCTGACCCTTGAAAGTGGGCCACATTTTTGCTGAGGGGCTCAACAGGGGCCCATTCCTTTTTCTCCAGCCTGAGTACAGGAGAGCCCCCTGGCTGAGGTGGGGGGCCCAACCTGTACCCAAGGAAGGTGACTGCGATCGCCAAGCCTTCACTGGGAGGAAGCCCAGGCCCCCGAAGTGGTTCCCGGAGACATTTCAGAGCCAGGAGACCCAGTCTCACCTCTCTGGGGGTGAGGACAAAGAGGAACTGCAGCACAAGGGAAAACAGAATTAGATGCTGATCTTGAATCGGGACTTAGAAATGGTAGCAGCTCCTTAATTAGATAGAGAAAGAGCAAATGCAGAGGCTGAGCCATAATTCGACAGGCCCACTCATGGTCCTCCAGCTTCCAGAGCACAGCCAGCCAGGCTGCCCACATGGCGAGGCTGGTTCTAACGTTGGGCTGGGAGACACTGGACCAATTTCTGCAGGTGAGCAAAGGCCCATTTCTGCAGAGCTTGTACAAAGAAGAAAACAATGGAAGGAACTAAAAAGAGGTTGTTGTAAGATACCAAAAAGTGTAGATCTAATCATGTGGAGCAGGGTTGGCAGGGTTTTTCTTTGAAAGACACATAGTAAATGGTTTAGACTTTGTGGCGATCCAGTGTCTATCACAGCTACTCCACTTAGGCAAACAACTGAAACCCTGCCTAGCAGGCTTATGAGTAGACTCTGCTAAGTCCCAGAGGCTAAGAATTTGCGGAGGGTCACACTGGCCAGTGTGGCCGTCATGGCAGCCCAGGCCCTTCACTGTGAACCCTGGGAGGGAGTGTGGGGGCTCGCCAGTGTGTGGGATATGACCTTCTCCTCAATTAGGAGTGGTTCTTCATTGCTTCCCTAATAGGAAGTCTTTCTAAAAAGCAGTGTTTGTTTTTCTAATTAAAAGGATAAAGTCAGTTTATGGCAGCAAATGTGTGAATAATGTATAAAGACTATTTCAAAAACCAAACAACATTTTAATCCAATGAAAAAACACACACCAAGTGGAACTGGTTTCGCTTGTTGTGTGTATGTGTGTTAAAAAAAAAAAAAAAAAGTTGTCATTTCTTTGGCCATTTAAAACAAGAGACATGAACTCAAGATGAAAAACACCAGCCAGTTCTTTGCCACATCAAAGGCCATGGGACTTGGCCAAGGTAAGTGTGTGACCTGGGGCAGCAGTGCCAGGCCCTGGTGTCGTGGGACCCTGGGGGGCACACGCACATTTCTCTCTCAGAGTAGGAGTCTTACTGCAGCTTCACTGCCTGGGGAAGTGTCCCTGTCAAAACTTCCTTAATATTTATAATCCTTTTATGATAGGAAAATAAATCTCAGCTAGAATAAGTGAACCTTAAAACGGGTATTTTTTTTCCCTACTATAATCGTCCCTTTGAGTACAGCTAAAAGACAAGGAAACTTCTTGCACCTTTTTCCTTTGTTCCTTTTTTCGTAGTGCATTTTAGGGAAGCCAGAGGATGTGTTCAGCCTAGTTAGCTTTTCATTTATCTGATATTAGATGAAAAGTTGATGATGGGAATTCCTACTTTCTTGGACTTTCACAATTTAACAACTCTGATTTTCTATATGTGAGGAGTATAGAAGGAAATATGGCTAAAGTAAGTAAATAAGGAAATCAGATGGTAAGAAGTAGCCAGGAAGAGGATATTTATTTCTAGGAATGACATTCTTGTCAGGATTGCTGCTGGTGATGACAGACAAACAGCTTCTGCATGTTCTCTGGGCTTCACAGCTCAGCGGTGTCCAGACCAGAGCTGTGCACTTCACCACTTTGAGTCGGTCAACCCCTGTATGCATCGTACAGTATCCACTGTTACCTCCTGGAGAAATCAAAGGGGCATGCTGATTTAAACAGGCCAAGTGTTATAAATTAGCCAACAAGATGGCGCAAGCCTAGGAGAATAGGCATTATTTGTCTTCATATTATATTTTAAACTTCATGCCTTGCAGGGGTTGTGAAGAAGTGTGTGAGCCCCACCCATGCACTGGTGGATTTCAGGTACGGAGACACCAAGGCTGTGCCCACCTCGTTCATCACGCCTGTCGGGGGCGCCATGCCCTGTCCCCTGCTCCAGGTACCTGCTCCAGCGATCTTTTCTGGGGCCCTTTCCACCATCCCCACAGTCGTGGATAACAGGATGGCGAGGCCACGGTGGGCCTCTGCTGAACACCTGGTTGGGCTCCTCCAGGGAGCTTGTGTTTGGGCAGGAAAAGCAGTGACCCCTGTTTGTATGGCCCCTGCCCTGGCAACTTTTTTCTTGCACCTTGATCTGCTAACACCCTGTTAAGGAGCCTCATGACTGCATAGGCTTGCTTACATTAGCCCCTGCGGCCCTTGTTGCTTTACAGACAGCAGATGGCGGGGGAAGAGAGCTGCTGTAACTGCTAACACCCTGGAAACTTTAACTGCAAAAGATGATATTAAAACCGATGTAAATATCAAGGGCAGAGGTAGAGCTTTCCTTGACGTTGTAGTTAGTTATTGCCCGACCTTGATGCCGTAATGCAGTTACACCTGAACACGAATTCCACAGGTTGGCTGGGCTGCCGTGTTCTCATCTGCATATACATCCATGAAAGCTGGGCTGCGTGGGGCCCATCCTTCCCAGCCCCCAGGCCAGCAGAGGGAGAGGCAAAAAGCTCCCAGAGCTCCAGCACTGCTGTCCTGGACAGCGGGAGCCAGGAGGCAAAGCACCGGATGAGCACTCCTAGGATTCCATGCCGAGTGTCTGTCGGCACCTCCCTGGCCAGACCCAGAGCGCCCACCGGTCCACTTTGCCCCTGACAGTTGGTCCTGTCCATCTGACACATGCCCAGCAACCTCCGCATGCTTCACAAGATTTTCTTTCTGCTAGAAGCTGTCTCTCTGTAACTTTTGCCTATGGACTCCAGGTGTGTGCTTTGGAACATTAAACAAACCTGCTGCTTTACATTGTCTGGGTGGCAGTCCTTGTGAAATAGGTTCCTTCAACCAGTCTTTATAGGATATGGTTTCCAGAACTCTTGCCAGTTTGCTGGCTGCCCCCCAGCCTGGGATCCTTGTCAGGTGAAGAAGTCCCGTGAAAACTGGGGGCTCCCCTAGACTGATTACAGAATTCTAGGGGTGGCCCAGTGAGCCTGGGGGATTTTCAAACTATTGACTCTTTCTTAGCTGAGAAAATATATGTATTTGAATTATAGCATCAGTACTTGCTAATCACCTTGGAGTATTTTAAAACAGGCTTATGTTGACATTGCTTATAAGATCAACAAGCAAAATATTTGCTATGATGTACGTTCTCATCTACAGGTTGGAGATTATGTCTTTGCCAAAATTGTGATACCCAACGGATTTGACTTCTATGTCCCTGCCATTGTCATAGCACTTCCGAATCAGGATGTGGCCGACGATAAATTCTACACAGTTTTGAAATGCAACAACCGGAGAGTAAGTACTTTCATTGAAGAAAGGGCTTTCTCACTAGGTAGAAAGTGGCTTCCCACCCCCACAAACCGCCCTCCTTCTGGGCAATGCCTCACTCTTTCCTGGCACTGCCAGATGTCCTGAAGGAATGACTTGCCTAGCTGCCCCTGTTCCTACTCCTTACAGTTCGGATTCTGCCCACTCTGCAACGCAAAATCTACCCTCACTGAGGTTGCCACGGCTTCCTAACTCCTTCATCGAATGGCCTTTTTGGCTCTCCTTCCACATTTGGCAACTGGGGAGACTCACTCCAGTTCTTTACAGTCCTCCCCAGTTTCTTACAGCACCTTTCTCTCTCTCTTCCTTGCCTGCCTCTTCTCAGCCTGCTCTGTTCCCCTCCCTGGCCTCCCTATGAATTTCCCTAAACGCTTTAGAAAGCCTCTTTATCAGTTTACATATCTGCTGATGTCACTTGTCTGCCTGATGTCCCCGGACACACACACACACACACACACACACACGCTTCTCATCAACCTCAAGGAAAAACCCAGCCTGAACCCAGCGTGGCCCCAGCCCCATGGAAGGCTCACTGCTTCCTGACTACAGTGGGCTTCTCCAAGCCCCTAGTCTTTCCCTCTTTCTGGACCATCCTCCCATCCTCTCTCTGCAGAAACTTCTGTCACCGGAAAGACTGCCCAACTGTCACATCCTGCTGAGGCCCTCAGGATTCCTCTGCACACTATACTTCCCCCTTCCCACACTGGCTTCCTCACCAACTCCCAGTTCCTTAAAGGCGGGGACTGTGGCTTATTCATCTTTGTAGCCCCCCGCACAGGCCTCTGATGAAGAGGAGATTCTCAAAATTGCTTTTTAAATTACTTAAATGAATGACATTTCTAATGGAAATGACATTGTCTTGATGGGCCATTTAATATGCCTGGAAAATAGACTAGGAAGCAAAAAGCAAGAAGTAAAATACTAGAGGCTAACTTTATGAAGCACTTATGTGCCACAGGTACTAATCAGGTACTTTATATGTAATGAACAATTGAATGCTCAAAACACTGCGAGCAGGTACCATTCTTATTCCCGTTTTCAGATAAAGAAACCGAAGCAGAGAGGTTAAGTCACACACAGGGTAAGTGGGACAGTGGGCATTTGAACCCAGCCAGTCTGGCTCCATGGCCTATACTCTGAATGTCTGTGCCCAACTGCCTAGTATACAGAATAAAAATATCCAGTCAGTTCTTGCCTATAGCATGAGGTGTATCCATCAGGAGAGGGGTCATAGTAAATGAATTTTAGAGTTAAAGGCAAAGAGTAAAGACCATCAGAGTCAATGGCCCCAGAAGCAGTTTCCAATCTGACAGAACAAGAAGGAGAAAGGGGTACCTTCTTATCAACCCAGAAGAAAAAAAAACAACAACAAACTTTAAGACAAAATAGACTTTCGTGGAGCTGTTTGGATGACAGTAAAAAGCAGTCTAGAGGGCAGTGGTCGGGAAGCTTTTCTGACATGAGGCACCACTCTGGGGATATCTACTAGGCAAAAGAGGAGAAAGCAAATTAAGGGACGTTTGAAGAGATGTCCCTGGGCATGCCCCAGCGTGTGCGGAGAGATGAAGCAGTTGTCCTAGGATCCCTGAGAAAGAGCCTCAAAGCCCAGGAGGGACCTTGGAATTTACCCCAGGGCAGTGAGGCCCTGTAGACTAGAGCAGCGTGGTCAGGGGCGAGACACTGAAGACAGTTCTGGTGGAGATCACGGGGCTGAAGGTGGCACATCTGGCAAAGGGTGGTGGTTATAGTTTCTGAGTCTAGGAAAGAGATGGCCATGGCTGAAGTAAAGGTAAATAGGAAGGTAGCTCTGGGGAGGGATGTGTGGGTATACATGCGCATGTGCATGGGCAGACACGTGCATGTACTGGACGGCCTCGCACGTGATCCAGGATATGGAGAAACGACCAGAAGGACTCATCGATGACTTTTACTTAGCATATAATTATCAAACCAGACTCTGCCATTTGACTGCCCTCTTAAGTGTCATCCTGAATAGGATAATGGCTAGCAGCTATTGTAATGGATCAAGCTGAAATAAAATTACATCTAAATTGTAGACATTTCTGATTTAAGTTGCATGAACTCTTTTGGTATTGTTACAGGAATTTTGCCCTCGGAGTGCACTTATTAAGATCAGCCAAAACAAGTATGCTCTCTCTTGCTCTCATATAAAATCACCCCCAATTCAGGAGGACCCAAAAGTGTAAGTAGACCCAACTGTTTATACTCCCTGAACTTTATTTATATCTTTGCACCTTTAATCTGTTTCTGAGTTGGGATTCATGATGTCTAAATACTTGGGGAGAAAAGCAGAGGTGGAGGACCTCCTGCTTAAAATGTAGTTCTGTGATTATTATTCCTTCAACATCACACCTCTTACTTGCTGGTTATTTGTCTATCTGGTTCTAATCTCAAACGCAACATTATTTTACGGACTCTTCAGAAAAACACTCAATCCTGTCATGAACTTGAAGGAATTATTCTCCTTTTATTTGTAAAGGTTCAAGGCCTTCTAATGAAGCAAAGGTTAGATTAAGTTGCAGTTGGGACCAGTCAATTGTCTGCTTCTCCCCTTGTTGGGGAGTGAGAATGTGGTGTTGGTCCTGGCTTGTCTGTGCCCAGGTGAGCAAGGGTGGGTGGGTGGGTGGCAGTTTCCAGCGGCTACAGTGGGGTGAATACCTTTTCATCTGAGGAAGTAGGATTGCTAAAAGCTGGAAAGGTAGATTAAAGCAAAGTCAATAAGAAGAAGCTGAGGCCTAGAAAGTAGACAAAAACTGAAGTCCATGGGGCTGACGAGGGGCATCACAGCTAGAGTTAGAGCCATAACCTTGGAGGTGAAGGTGGATTTTGAGCAAGGGTTAGGGAAAGGGATCCTGGAAACACCCTCCAACTTCACTTGGAGTTTGTAAGTTGTCTTGGGTGCCAGCCTTCAGTCACCTGATGGCATCATCTTGCACTTCATAAACAGAAACCATCAGACATTCTCTCCTCCACTTCTTTTCCCCCACCTCTAGGCTTGGAGAAACCTCTGTCTTCCCCCCTGATATCAAAGTACCTTCTCTCATCCAAGGCTGACCTGCCCACCAGGCTCCAGAGCCTGTTGCCACTACCCAATTCTTGCTCCATCAGTTATCAGGATTCTCTCCTATCTCCCTAGCTCCTCTCCTGATTCCTTCACCCAGCCAAAACCCAAGTTTGCCTCCACTGTTTACACACATGCACACATGCATGCACACACACCCCCAGTCCTAAATCCATCGAGCTCCCTTGGTTCAGCAGTGTGATCTGGCATCCTCCCTCCCTTCACAGCCATGCTGTATGTGGGCAGTCTCATAGGCTGGTGTCTCCCCTTGCTTACCTTCTCTTCCCTTCCTGAGGAGGCTTGGGTATTGGCTTCCCCCCTTGCCCCCTTGTGAAGCTATTCCCAGAGGGGCCACTCAGACCGCTCACACAGACTGTGCATGCTGTTTCAGTATAGGGTCTATTTGACTCTCTTGACCACCCCTCCTCCTTCTCTTGAGACCTGTCATGGCTCCTCCCTCCTCCCTCTGGATTTCCTCCCTGCCCAATTTCAACCACATCCCTTACTTCCATGACTCCACTTACACTAAGGACCTCATATCTCCCTCTCCACCCCAGACCACTCCTGTGCTCCCGCATCAGAATCGTAGCCTCTCAGAGTGGGACCTGGGATGGACTTTGCTGAAAGCTCCCCCGCTGGTTGTAACTGCAGACTTGGCTGATAAGAACTAGGTGGAAGGGGCCTTGGAAGCTAAGACCTGATTTCCTATCCCAGCCCCACCCTCACTTAGTTTGCGCCCTTGGGCAGGTTGCTTATCATCTAGGAGCTTGTTTGCTTACAGTGAGATTAGGGTGGTGTGAGGATTGGAGATGGTCAGTGTGTGCTTGGGGTAAAGCAGATGCTGAGTCCATGGCAGGAATCCTGGTATTTCCAGCCATCCACCTGAATGTACAGAACCTCAAATTCAGCACATCTAATACTGAAAGTATAGCTTTCCACAGACCCACTCCCATCTCTGCCTGCCCTGACTCAGTTCTCTCTGCCACCTGTCAGTCACAGAGTTGTCCTTACAGAAATTTGGTCATCATCTTTGGCTTCTTCTTGCCCTTCACCCAATACACCCCATGGGTCTCCCAAATTATATTAATCCTAATTTGCAAATATTTCTCAGCTCTGCTGGACCTGTGCTGCCTTAGGTCAGGCATCTCATTTCCTGAGGCCACTACCTTTGGCCTCCTGCCAATAGTCCCTCCCCCACTTAAAAAATCCTTCAGTCTCCCTCCCTTGCCCCTTCTTATTCTAGTTTAGCCTCTTGTGGGTCTGACCCAGGCCTGCCCCCCTAGCCTCACTTCTCCCTAGCCACCCTCCAACCAACCTCCTACAAGCCCTCTGCACATTAACCATACTAAACTACTTGTAGCTTTTTCCCCATGCCATGCTTTTTCAGAGCTCTGTGCTGTGTATCCCTCCCTGGAATGTTATTCTTTGCCCTTGGCCTCCAGGGAACTTTAACACTGAACTCAGGGGTCACCATCGCTATTCCTGTTCCGAGACTCTAGCCATCCTGTGCGCTGAGGTGATCCCACTGCGTCCTGTAGAGGTTTTCATTAGAGAAATTTTCCCTTGTGTTGGGCCACATACTTTCTCAGTTTCTCACTCCTGTTAGGCACGTGTCCTTGAAAGCAGGTGCCAGGTTCTATCCACTTCTAAATTATAGTTGTCAAGGTCCAGCTCATAGGATGTGCCCAATGACTATTTGAAGAATGAACCAGTGAACAAATAAATACTAGTGGATGCCCATGAGAGATGCATGGTTTCACAGAGAATCTTTCCTTAGGTATTATTGTTGAAAATATACACTACCATCCTTCATTCTCTTCTAGATGAGTATAATGTTCATTTAAAATTATAGCACATTTTTTGTTGATCTCAAAACCCTACTCAAACAAAATGATATCCAAATTACAGTACATTTTAAAGGAATATGAATAGATGTGTCTAGGTATTGACCATTTTCCCTAAATTCAACATTATCAATCCTATTTTAGAATTAAAATTCAGTTCTTTCTGTGTTTTGAAAAGCCTGTAACTGTTTTCTATCGTAGTCCTGCCCCAGGCCTTATTTAAAGCTCTCAGCTGCTAATTATCTACCCTAGCTTCTAGGTCTTCACACAGCGAAAGTATGCATTAACTCTCCAGTCTCCCCATGGTAACTTCCACTGCTGTTTTGCTCTAGCCACCTCTGTGCTAGCAAGAGACGGCATTTAATTCTCTTAAGCAGAGGTCACGTCCAACCCGCTAAATTCAGAGTTTAATCTGTCTCTGTTTCCATAATCAGAGCTGACAGGTGTGAGCACACAGACTGAAGGTGCAGGTCTTATTTTGTATCTCCACTGGGATTTCCTTCTGGTAGGTCCTTTCTCCTCAGGAGCGCTTCCTAACTTGCTTTCTAAAGGTACCATCTCCCTTTGGTTTGTCTTTAGTAAGCCTTCACATCATTATAGCAAATGAGACCATTAAAAAAAAAAACCCTGGTGGGCTTTCTTCAGGGGCTACTTAAAGAAATGTGCTATAGCTTGCAATTCCAACAGAACAGCATTTGACTAAATTTAACTTTAAAATATTGAATCCACTATAACCATCCATTTGGGGTTGATCAGACAGGGGTATATGGCCCCAGGCATGAACTGGGATGCCAGACATTCAGCTCTCTGTGTTCTGCACCTCCACTTTTTCTTCTTTCTTGAGGCCTTCAGTCGTGGGTGACAGAGTATTTCCTGCAGGCCCCTCTTCTTGTTCCTAACTGAGGGCAACACACAATCAAAGACAGGAAGGGAAGTATTTGGAGGGTAAAGGGTTCAAAACTGATTGAATATGGCCAAAGCCGATGCCTAGTTTTAGTTTCAGCTTAAAATTTGACACCTAAATGATTCTGGAGGACTTTAGTCCTCTATCATCCAATAGGTTACCCATATTGCTAAATTCCAAATAACTAGTTCTTAAAGGAGAGAATGTTAGTATCACCACATTTACAATGTGAGATGAAGGGAGGCTCTCACTGGTTTGATTTTCTCTTTCCTCTGCCACATGATGAGTGCATTTTCTGGCAGCCCAGCTGAAGGAGGTGTGCCTTCTGAGAGTGTGTCCGATGGAGGGATGTGATTACTCTTGCCTTACCTACCTTCAGTGATGTCCCTGAGCTTTTTTTCTACACTTCATAGCATAGAGATATCTGTTCTGAGTGAAAATATTCCCCAAACCGGCTATAACTTTCTCCATTTAGACAATACACATGTAATTTCTCCTAATCCCAAAGTGCAAGCAGACCAGGAGAAATTTCCCCCCACTTGGCATCCTCCCTCCTTGCTAGGCAGAGAGCTCCCAGCAGAGCTGTTCCCTGACTCCTCCCCTGGAATCCTGTTCCTCTCAGAAGGCTGGGGCCTCCACTGGGGCTGTAGCAGGGGACACATGCCTGGTGGGTTTGATGCTCTGGCTTCTGGTTTTCTCCAGTGAAGGGAAGTGCCTCTACCAGACATTACTCAGTCACCCACTGAGAGGTTGGTTGAGTACAGGCTGGGGACTAAGTGCTCCTCCAGACAAGGTGCCTCTGGCAGGCCTGAGCTGAATCCCCGTACTTGGTGCCATGTAACTGGCTGGATATCCCTCCCAGCCACAGCTGGGATCCATCCTTTCTTGGGCAGATTGCTTCTGAGTCTCCTCCTTTAAGAAGACTCACTTGGAGGGAGTTGGATTTCTTGAAAAAATTAGTAACATTCTAAATGTGATCAGGAAAGCCAGATAGGACTAATCCTTTGCTCCAAAAAAAAAAAAAAAAAAATCACTGGACATCTGAAGGAAATGACTGGGCACTGAGATCTTGAAGGCAAGGAGTGTTCTCTTCTTGATGTGTGTTTTTAATTGTGTGGCCTGGGGGACATGGCTGTGTATGAGTCTATGGGAGGGGAGACCACTCTCCTAGGGTTCAGTTGTGTTTTATCCGGGTCTGTGGTCAGCTCCCAATTCCTGAATATTAGCCTCTTGTTGTCTCTCTCTGAACAGTTGAATCATTTTCCATCAAGCCATTTGGATTTAGGAATATGTCCCAAAGGAAATCATAATTCCATGATGGTTAACATTCCTCCCTTCCTCTATGTAGTGTGGCCTCACATCGTCTTCCTGAC